TTTTTGTTCGGTTTCTTCTGCAGATGTCTGTTCTGGAACTGCTTTCTGGGTGTCCTCTGTTGCAACTTCCCCCAATGGATCTCCTTCTTTTGGGATGCTTTCCCTATTCACAGCTCCTGGAGCAGAATCATCTTGCTCCTTTTCTTTTGGCTTCGGTGTAGATGCAGCAAGATCGACTGTAGATGGTTGTGAATCATCTTCTTTCTGTGTTTGCTCCTCGTTCTCCTCTTCGTTCTGGTATATCTTTGTCTGTTTGAATATTTCATTGATTGTTTTATTCAAACTGGCATTCAATTCTTCATCATTCTCTTCTTCATCATCTTCACACTCATTGTCTGGTCCTACTACTTGATTGTCAGATTTTTCTCCTTCTGTGGGCTGAACATATTCATCAGACCTTTCTTTCTGAAGATTCTTTTTGTGTTTGATCAGCTTGTCTAGTTGGCTGTTGTACTGCTCTTTGATTGCTTTCATCATTGCCTTCATTGATGCTTCAACCAGTTTGATTGCATTCTCAGCCTGCATAATGGGAGTATGGTTAGTTACCATGGTGGTAATACATGGTATTGGCAATTATTATCACTATTCTGCATTTTTATAACATGAAACTATATCTTACCACACCTTACCATATGGTAACAAAGTAAAACAGAACAAGAATTATGGTTTCCTCCATTTTTATAACATGAATTCATTGCTTACCACACATTACCATATGGTAACGTATTAAAACACAACAGGACTTATGTTTTCCTCCATTTTTATAACGTGAAACCGTAGATTACCACACTTTACCATATGGTAACAAACTAAAACACAGAAGGACTTGTTGTTTTTTGTATTTTTAAAACATGAAAGCATAGCTTACCACACATTACCATATGGTAACAAAGTAAGACAGAACAAGAATTATGGTTTCCTCCATTTTTATAACATGAAACCATTGCTTACCACACATTACCATATGGTAACGAAGTAAACCACAACAGGACTTATGTTTTGCTCCATTTTTATAACATGGAACCATAGCTTACCACACTTTACCATATGGTAACAAAGTAAAACACAGGACTTACGCTTAGCATGTATTGGACAACTGGTATATAGATAATTTGTACTTACTTGGTTGACTGTTCTGATATTCTTCAAATCAAAGTTCAGTGATGATGACTGCTCGGGACTTTTGTTTCTTTGTCTTTTCGGTGATTCATAGACTGGCTCATTCTCCTCTTCCTCATCAGCTGCGACATCAGCTGCGTCATCAGCCTCATCATCAGCCTCATCATCAGCCTCATCGTCTCTAATGTTGGTAATCTTTTCGATCTCGTTCAACTGTTTTCCATTGTAGTAGCTCTTAATGTTCTCAAAGTTGCTATCAACATTGTTATCATCATAGTAGCTTACTATTGGTGTTCGAAGTTGGGTTGAGAATGCCATTTCGTCCAGTTTGTACATGAAGCATACCTTTTTATGCAGATAGTTGTATTAGTTTTTTCAAAGAGTATCATTTATATATATATATGAGTAACAAGGTTGAAATGGCCAAGGGAATGGAGACTTACTGTAAGGAAGTGAAGATCTGCATTGACGTAGAACTTTGGTGATTTCAATCCTTCATTCATGTGGTTGAAGAAGTATTTGCACCAGTTGTAGCTGGTGAAATGTTTCTGTTCATCAGTCTTCAAGTACTCAAGCATGTTGAGTTCAGCCATAGGGGCTGAAGTTGGGCACAGCAAGCCTCCGGTGACCAGCAGAAAGAACAATTGTAACCATCTCTTACTGTTGGTAACTGTAGAAAGATCTTTTTCTACCTGACTTAGCTTTACCCTTGGAGTGGATGCTCCATCTACTTCCAGTAGGGTTTCTACTGCATAATCTGCTGCATCGTCCCAAGAAATCGTGGGAGGTACAACTTCCCTATTCCCCATTGGCAGACCATATACCCTATGAAAGTCAATTGGTGATATCTTCATGCGTGTCCCGTCAGGTAGCTTGAAAGATTGTTTCATTGGATTGTATTTGTTCATTACGAACAGTGCAAAATGGGTGTTTATCTTTGTCTGCTTGATTGACATTAAGCCTGCTAGGCCTAATGTCTCAAGTTTCTCTTTCTGGTCATCTTTTATAGTCCTTGTAATTGCAGATATTCTTGTTGGGCTGCACCTTGTGCGAAAATTTTTTCTTTGGTTTACCATAGTGTACCTGAATGTAGAAATTAGGAATAGTCTGTTAGCGTGCTTTTTATCATGATATACCATATGGTACCATAATGGTTTCATACCATACCAAATCAAACCATATATTTATCTCATTTTACCATATGGTAATTACATCAAACCATGTCTTATAACATATTACCATATGGTAACGAAGTAAAACACAACAGGATGTATGTTTTCCTCCATTTTTACAGCATGAAACCATAGTTTACCACACATTACCATATGGTAAAGAAGCAAAACACAGCAGGACTTATGGTTTTTTGCTATTTTACAACATGAAACCATAGTTTACCACTCATTACCATATGGTAACGAACCAAAACACAGCAGGACTTATGGTTTTTTGCTATTTTACAACATGAAACCATAGTTTACCACACATTACCATATGGTAACGAAGCAAAACACAGCAGGACTTATGGTTTTTTGCTATTTTACAACATGAAACCATAGTTTACCACTCATTACCATATGGTAACGAAGCAAAACACAGCAGGACTTATGGTTTTTTGCTATTTTACAACATGAAACCATAGTTTACCACTCATTACCATATGGTAACGAACCAAAACACAGCAGGACTTATGGTTTTTTGCTATTTTACAACATGAAACCATAGTTACCACACATTACCATATGGTAAAGAAGCAAAACACAGCAGGACTTATGGTTTTTTGCTATTTTACAACATGAAACCATAGGTTACCACACATTACCATATGGTAACGAAGCAAAACACAGCAGGACTTATGGTTTTTTGCTATTTTACAACATGAAACCATAGTTTACCACTCATTACCATATGGTAAAGAAGCAAAACACAGCAGGACTTATGGTTTTTTGCTATTTTACAACATGAAACCATAGGTTACCACACATTACCATATGTAACAAACTAAATGACAGCAGGACTTATGGTTTTTTGCTATTTTACAACATGCAATCATAACTTACCACACATTACCATATGGTAACGAACAAAACACAGCAGGACTTATGGTTTTTCGCTATTTTAGAACATGCAATCTTAATTTACCACTCATTACCATATGGTAATGAAGCAAAACACAACAGATTCTACATCAGTTCAGCAACGCATGGAGAGTGACTGCGATACTGTTCTATTGTTCTGTGGATGGATTTTCGAAGAAAGAAGTGAGGTTTTACCTTGATATTTTGTGCGAAAACGATTTTTGAGCCTCGTTGAAGTTGGAAACTCTTCGTTTTTCGACGAAGAAGCGAGAACAGTGTATCGTTGAATGATTCTTCGAAATCCTTTGCGAAAATCGTTCGATTTGAAGTTTTTTCTGGAAGTTTTTGCTGCGATTTTGGTGAGAGAATTGAGAATCGAGAGGAAGAATGGAGAGTTAGAGAGCAGAGAGGGAAGTGGAACTGTCGCTTGAAAGGTGAGAGGAAGAAGGAGAGAAGGCGGGACGTTTGTCGCTGTCACGTCTGCAATTCAAATTGTCAGAGACGAGATTACGTTTTTGCCCCCGCGTGTATTTTAAGTGGCCTGATCTGACGGCTGGGAAGATGGCGCGATGGACGGCCGGATCATCGGTTACTGACCGTTACTGATAGGTCGGTTACTGATAGGATCCGGACCCCCCTTGGGGGAAAGACGCGTCGACGCTGTCCTCGATGTGGGTTCTCAGTTCTCTTCAACCTCACCCCGATCCTCTCCGTCCGGCTGCCGAAGGAAGTCGAGGAGGCCACCCTCAGCGACTACCACCGCCTCTACGAGTTCTTCTCCTCCGCGGCCGGATCGATTCTCGATGAGGCCGAGTAGTCGGGGATCTGGAGGGAGGAGGCCTGCCACAACATCGTGTTCGCCATCTGCTTCAACTCCTGGGGCGGGTTCAAGATCCTGTTCCCGAGGCTGATGTAGTGGATCCGGTGGGCGGCCATGGAGCTTCACACCCGACTCGCTGAGGAAATCAGATCCGCGACCGCCGCAAAGATGGCAGTGATGGAGAAGATGCCACAGAGTTCTTCCCTCTGCATCTCATAGTCGGTGGGGTTTTCCATTAGCCTCCGTCCTCTTGTCATTAGGGTCGGAGGTGGCGGTGACTCTGTATCTATGGTGACGGCAGAGTAGATTTGGGACTGAATAACTCATTTCGGAGCGTAGCATTCTCCCAGGCGGAGGTAATCGCCGGAGGCAGGAAGGATAAGCAATTAAGTGTGCGCGGTGGGGAATTAAATGTATTAGGGTTTCTTTTACTATTTTTAAATTTTTATAATTATTAGATGGAAAATAAATATTTTTAATTTAATAATTTATTATTTCTTAATTGACACGTCACTTACTTAACGATTAACTCTCAGAGTTGACTGCCATGTCAGATAAAGTTAACGGAGTTGGGCGGCTACTGACGAAACTTGAACTGTTGAACTAATCTTACTGACTATGAATAGAATAAATTTATTTGGGTTAATTGTATGGTTGGTCACTGAGATTAAAAAAACGTTCAAGTTCGGTCACTCGAAATATTTAAATCCATTGTTGTTACTTCAGTTTACTGAAACCGTTCAACTTTGGTCACACTCCGTCCAATTCCGTTAACTTTTGCTGATGTGGCAATCAACTCTCAAAGTTGACCGTTAACTTAGTGACGTGGTATTTGAAAAATAATAAATAAAATTTGATCTATTTTAATGTCCAACTCATTTTTACCATAAAATAAATAAATAAAATAAAAAATTATAATAATTATCAAATAGAAATGGGTACTTCCTCCTTGTCGGAGTAGCGACGCCTTCCCCCATTATATAAAGTGCAGATCAGGGAGCTGCAGATAACAAAACAGAGGAGAAGGGAGACCTGCCTAGAAGCAAAAACAGAGTGGTAACCATGGCCAAATACTGTTCTTCTCTGCTGCTCCTCGGTTTGAGTTTGAGTGCGCGCTTCTGGTAGTGGCTTTTGGTGCTGGTGATGGGGTAACTAAGATCGGGACTTATGAGCTCAAGAAAGAGGGAAGATGTCTCTCAAGGTCACCAACTATGGCGCCCATATGATGTCTTTCATCGTCCTGGACAAAAACGGTTAGCTACCCAACTTCTCTGATTTTGATATCTTCTTGTACATCTTTCCGGGCTATTTCTTTCCTACTTAGTTTGTGTGTGCGTTTTCCTTGAATCGAAATCTGGGTTTGCTTGCAGAGAAGATGAATGATGTAATTCTTGGATATGACACCGCTGAGGCTTACAAGGTGAGATCCATCGCCTAGCTATGATTCATTTTAGTTCTTCGATTTTCACTTTTCACCGTCATCTTCCAATCATGATCCACAATCACTTTCTCTGTCTCTCCTCCCACTCTCTGATGAGAAACACAGTGGCAGGGGGCAATGTTTAAGCTCATCTTTTGCAGAGAAAAAAACGTCTCTTTTTTGTCCGTTAACAGCTCAAATTTGATAATTATTATAATTTTTTATTTTATTTTATTTATTTTATGGTAAAAATGAGTTGGACATTAAAATAAATTAAATTTTATTTATTATTTTTTAAATGCCGTCACTAAGTTAACGGTCAATTTTGAGAGTTGACTGCCACATCAGCAAAAGTTAACGGAGTTGGACGGAGAGTGACCAAACTTGAACGGTTTTAGCAAACTGAAGTACCATCAATGGATTTAAATATTTCGAGTGACCAAACTTGAACGTTTTTTGTAATCTCAGTGACCAACCATGCAATTAACCCAAATTTATTTTAGTGAGAATTGAGAAACATTAACTTTTTAAGTAACTAGTTTTTTACCCGCCCGTTGGGCGGTGTATTTTGTTTGGTTGTTTTATAATTCATTATAGTATTCTAATTGTTATTATTATTTATGTTTGCTAAGGTAATATACATGGAATTGTAAATCCCACTTACCTTATTTCAGGTATTATTTCAAACTTGTACACCTTTTGTTTATTTATGAACATTTTAATTTTATTAACTGAGCTCTTTGTAGACGGTTCTTTATTGATTTAGAATTTTTTTTATCGAACTCGCCCTTTAAAATTATAAATATAAGAGATTATTCATTCTTTAGCACAGAATTGTGATAAAGAAGTTAAAAAACTTACGGCCACAAAAGAAGAAGTTAGAATAAGAAAATATGCTTCAATTAATAAAAAAATAAGCGAAGAGCTTTTTATTTTCTCTCCCTTCTCATATGTCGGTATATGATAATAGAGAATATTCCAATCTAAATCCCATGAATATCGTGTATTATCACTTACACATACAATTTTGGAATAATGAGGAAACCCATTAGCATCCACGTCTATCAATCTTCCACGTACTTGTTTAATTACCTTGAAATGTTCTAGCAAAACCAACCACAAACAAAACTATTAGCTGTCACTACCTTATTAAAGCAATATTTTCAGCAAATTAAACTACATATACTTAAACACAATTTATATGTTGTAGAGAGCTACATATCTCCCGCAGAAAAGAATTGTGCTTTATTACCTAATAACAACATAGACAAATAATGAAAGGAGTAGTCTTCAATACAACTCAACTCATTTTATCATTCAGATTCCTCTTTTGTGAACTGAATATATGCATCAATCCAAATAGTAGTTTGTAAGAAAACAATCATGTCAAAATCAATCTTTAGTTAGAGATTCAATGCAGAAAATTCACCTTAATGAAACAAACAAATATCACCGCAAACATGTAGAAATTAAAAAAACATCGAAATAGACAACCGAGAAATCACCATTATCATTTTCTTTCTTCTTCGCGATCTTTATAAAACCCCAATTATGTTCCCTTCTACTTATAACCCCTTTGCTACCTACTAATTACTAACCAGATCATCATTGTATAGCTAGCTAGTAGTAGCATGTCAATAATGAACATAAAATATAATAAACAATCATCACAGCTCTACTTTCCATTTCAACATTCAAGAAATCGGGTTGCAATAGGCATTCAAGAAAAATTATCAATTATTCAACCAAAGGAGGTATTAGGTATGCCCTAAGTCCAACCAATTAAACCTTCTAATTATATTTTATATACATGAAAGTATATGGCGACCCTTCTCAGTAAAAAAACAAAGAAGAAATATATTCACTCATCGAGAGTGGAAAAATTTACCATCCAACAGTCATAATTTGGAAGAAATTAAGAAAAAAATGGAAAAAAGAGTATAACTCGGCCAGTCAACCGCAAACAATAACATATCGCTGAGAAAATGAGACCAGTTGCCAGCTTCAGATCAAGGAGGAAGAGGGAGCAGTCGACAACCCTCGGCTTGGTTCACCTCATCTTCACAATGATTAGATTAACTTTTTTCGTCAACAGGCAAAAATATGTTACAACTGCTCAAAATTTTATCATCTTATCGTTGTCTCGTGTAACTCCTGCCTCTTATTCTCATACAAAGAAAAAAATCGTATGCATTAACATTTCCTTCTCTATAAATTATGAGAATACAAATATTAGAAATCTCAAAAAAAATTAGCAACTAATAAGAGGGCTTTGTTTATTTTTATGGTGGTTGACATACTTTCTTGATTTCTTATTTTCAATGTTGGATTTTATTTCTAGAGAGATAATCAAAATGGGAAAATGGATAGAAACAAATTAAAAGTTTGCATTAATAATTAATATGTTTTGAGAGAAGACCTATCCATCCATCCATGGAGTCATGGAGATGGATAAAAAAGGTGTCATAATCGGGTTGCTCAAATAGTATGATATTTTCTTTCTTGGGCCAAATCCGCACGGTTTTACTCTTGTGTGTCCTCCCCAAAATGCCTCGTATTAATCGGGCTAGGGTGGACACTAATAATATGATCAATGCTTGCTGTCTTTTCCTTTCCTTCTTTCCTTTTTTGCACCCTCACTCATACATTCACTCCCACGCTCATGACTCACTATAAATATGCTAATAACATTTACCTCTTTTCCTTTCCTTCTTTCCTTTTTTTGCACCCTCAGTCATACATTCACTCCCACGCTCATGACTCACTATAAATATGTCAATAACATTTACCTCTCTCGATCAAAATCCAGCAAACCTCAAGTTTTTATATATAAAGCTACTCTCTTTCTGTTTCTCTCCTTCAATTTTACCTAACTGGGTGAAGAAAGAAGTGTCTGATATGGGGAAAGAAGTGAGTGTTTGATAGCAAAAAACATATAGTCATATCGTTCATTTCTCAAAGTCGATTGATTGTCAAACGTTTATTTTCTCTTAGACCATCGTTTATATTTTGTATTGAAAAATATTAATATTTATGTGTGTGCCTGTTTTTTTTTCTTCATCAAAATGTAACTTATTATTAAGTTTTAGTAAAAAAGAGTAGAAAATTTACTTAATCAGATTTAATCAGCTTGGCTTAAACAAATACAATATATGTCACTCTTTGTTTCCATCTTTATAGTTTGTTTAATCGAATTTGTTTTATTACTTAGGTGTATTTTTTTTGTTTAAATATTTCTTAAAAAATGAACTTATTTTAATTTTAGTAAAAATGAGTATAATTATTAAAAGAAGAGAGAGACAACTTCAGATCAATAAATAGTTTTTTGTTTGTAAAAAAATTGTCCACCTTGGCAACTTGTGCATTCACCAAGTGCTTATGTGGTAAGAAATTATTTTTGAATAGCCATAATATTAAGTATAGAAGATATAGATAGATAGATAGATAGATAGATAGACAGATATAGATTTCAGTGACCAAATTTACAATTTACTCCATTAAATTAATAAAAAAACGCAATTCATCTACTCCACCAGACCCCCACCACCTTTTTGTCTCTCCTTCCCCCCTCCCAATTTTTCATCTCCTCCTTATTTCTGTCTTTTTTCTTCATCTACTCTTATCATCCATCTCGTTCATCCATTCAATCAACCCAAGCTCTCCATCTCCTCCTATTCTCCATCTCCTGCATTTAGCGGAGAGAGAAGTGATATCATGGCCTGCCGACAGGAGTCACTGGACGGGATATCGAACCGAAGAAGGAGACAATTGGCCGACGAGAGAATGGTTCACGAACGGAAGATCTCAACTTCCTCTTATCCTCTTTGCGTGTGTGAAACCATAAGGAGAGTGGGTCGAAAAGGGAACAAGAAGAGCTTTACTTCTTCTCCTAATCCTTTTCATGTGGTGTGTGTGTGAATCATAGGGAGGGTGTGTTGAGAATGGTAAGATCTTGAGGTTCAGTTAGGGAGACAACATAGTGGAGGCCGAGAGTGAGTTTTGGATTAGAGTATTCGAGGGGGCGAGACGTGGAGATTGAGTAGAGAGGGCATGATGTCACATAATTAGGGTTGTGTTGGTCGAGTTTCTAGGCTTTGGAACTTTGGGGGAGTTCGGCTTTCTGGGATACTGCTCGATCATATCTACACATTTAAAGCCCCAAATGTTAGGGGTGTACATGGGTCGGGTGGTCCGGGTTTAGCCATTTTAATCACCCGACCCATGCACTACAGTTTGGGAAATATTAAACCCAAACCCACAAAAAAAATTAAAATCCTACGATCTGTTTCTAATTGGGTTGGTTCAGGTTGGCAATATTATTAAGTAAAAACCCAACCCAACACGAAATATGTATTTATTCTATACCATATTTATGACTAATTAAAATTCCAAACGAGTAAACTGAGGTGAAAGGTATCAAAATTCATAAATGTTGTTTAAATTTTAATAAAATGTTATTTAGTTCAACATATATCTAGTTTTTTTCACTACATTTGTTGAAATAGGCTAAAAATGTTATAAACGAACGCATCCATAATATGTTATTCTATTAAAATTGTACAGAAGAAAAAGGATTACGTGAATCATAGCTATATTAAATCTATGTCTAAACTTTAAGCCGAAGAATGCATTAGATTAGGGAGATCATGAGAGAAAAACATTGCGAAATATCTTAATTTTCTCATAAGTATGGCTATATGCAAAATAAATATCTTTTGGATACGAACTCATACCAATAGTTGGAACACGGGTTGGGTCGGGTTCTAAGGGTTGTCTAATCCAAAATCCAAAATTTAAACCCAACCAAAAAGAGGCGGGTTGTACAAAATAAAACCCTCACCCAACCGAAAACCTTAGTTTTAGCGATAAATACGGGTGGGTCGGTTTGCGGGTGTGTTTGTCACCCCTACCAAATGTTACCAAAAAAATGTTAAGCCCCAATAAATATCCTTTTATGCAGATATATATGCTTATTCCCCAGATACCGTCATTGCTTCTTCTTGGGAAAATAAGTCGAAAAGATTGAGAAAAATTGGTCATTCACAACCACTGATGAAGGATTCCTCGAATGAATTATGTGTAGATTCTTTCGAAGTTGAAATTTTGGATGTTGAATTTTTTTAGGGTAAATACAATATATTAGTCACAACTATCAAGTAGTGGGAAATTAGGGATTTTTCTAGAAATAGCATCTTTTTAAAAAAATTACAAAAATAGCACCCAGCCGAAAATATTTACAAAAATAACACCCTTTTTTATGGACCGCACCCTCCAGGTGCGTTTTATATATAAACCGCACCTTAGTAAACCGCACCTCTAAGGTGCGGTTTATTATCCTGGGCCAAAACCGCATCTTGACCATGCGGTTTCACGTCTGACCTACAGAAATCGCATGGCCGATGTGCGATTTTTGCCTGACCTAGCAAAACCGCACCTTGGAGATGTGGTTTGTTTCATGCAAATGCCACTCCACGGTCCCAAAACAAATTAGAGGGACCCTCGTGCACCATTACCCGATATGACCGGGGAATTGCTGGAGATGCCAATGAACGATGTTCTCCGGGTATGGATCGAAGGCGATCTACAAGAAACAAATGAGTAACTTAAGTTTATCAGAATTGGAAAAATACATGTACTCCATGAAAAAAAGATATAAATGG